TTGTGTACATCTCACTTCACAAATGAGTCTGTCAGATATGCTAAGCCTGTAGGCCAAAAATGCTGCTCCAACATGCAGAGAAACCTTGAAGCAACTGGTTTCCAGTAAACCAGGAAGCTGGTTGTTTCTGTCATAACTCACATTTTTTGGAAGTTGCTTGTTTGCACTTCCTCTTTTACTAGGTAATATTATTTCCTTCTGGGGTCTCTGAGGGAGTTGAAGATTATATAGTTATAGTTACAGTTTTCCTTGTTAAGAAATTCAGAAAAGAAACTCACTAAAAATTGTAAAGTGTATAAATTTGAAAGACATCATAAGATAGTTTTCCGTTAGTAATATGTTAGGATACAATAGGTACAATTTGGACTCACCAAAATAGGATACATAATGGAATCTTTTCACTGAATTTGTCAAATGCAAATGGACTAGACCTTGCTGATGTATTTATTGCTTGTATATATTGTATATAGTTATTGTACTTGTTGTATATAGTTTTTCTTATATTAGTTATAAATTTTTTTATTTTTTATTTTTATTAGAAAAAAGGGGGGAATGTAGTGATATTTTATTTGTGCTGAAATGTGGTGATGTTTTATTTGTGATTTAATAAATAAAGCTTGTCTGGAGATCAGAGGAAATAGCAAGCCATTTTAAGTAAACAAAGAAGTCAAGCAATGGTAGCACACACCCTTAGTCCTATCACTTAGCAGGCAGGCTCTCTGTGTGTTCAAGGCCACACTGGAAACAAAGCCAGGTGTGGTGGCACATGCCTTAAAATTCCAACCCTAGTTAACCATGGAGTTCTGGAGGTCTGCACAGACAGCCAGGAAATGTCAGAGCTGGGCAGAAAGAAGAAGTGATGTAGCTGGGCAGAGAGAGCAAATCAGATGGCAGAACAGCAAGACATATAGACAGTAGGTAAACAGGAAGTCACAGCATTTTGGAAGCTGCAGAGTTGGTGAGGTAAGTCTGGCTATTGGCTTTCCCTATTTCCCTGATCTCTCTAAGGCTTTCACCCCTATATTTGGCTCCATGCTTTTTACTTAATAAGATCATTTAGAAATTTGTCTACCAACTGTGGTTTAAGTTAACAATTAAAGAAAATAACTGAGTCCCAGAAGCTAGGCTAGCTCAAGTTCCTTTAATCTTAATGTTGAGAGATATGTTCATGTATTTGTTGTTCATCATAGCTAAAACAAAGCTTTGACTTATAATTAGGTTAAGATGCTTTTGATAATAGTTTTGGAATAGAAAATCTTGGGGAAGAATTGAAAGTTTAGGAAGGCACACTTTTAAAAGTTGAGCTAGGGTGTCATTGAGGCCAGGGAATAAAGACAATGGAATTGTTGTACAGGATTCTTTTAGCTATCCTGGGTTTTCTATTTTTCCAAATGAAGTTGAGTATTGTTTTTTCCAGGTCTGTGAAGAATTGTGTTGGGATTTTGATGGGGATTGCATTGAATCTGTAAATTGCTTTTGGTAAGATTGCCATTTGCACTATGTAAATTCTACCTATCCATGAGCATGGGAGATCTTTCCATTTTCTGATATCTTCTTCAATTTCTTTCTTCAGAGACTTAAAGTTCTTGTCATACAGTTCTTTCACTTGTTTAGTTAGAATTACCCCAAGGTATTTTATATTATTTGTGGCTATTGTAAAGGGTGATGTTTCTCTGAATTCTTTCTCAGCCCATTTATCATTTGTATATAGGAGGGCTACTGATTTTTTTGAGTTAATCTTGTATCCTACAGTGTTACTGAGGTCTGATCTCCAAAATATATAAAGAACTCAAGAAATTAGATATCAAAATAATGAACAATCCAATTAAAAAATGGGCTATGGAGTTAAACAGAGAATTCTCAAAGAAAGAATTTCAAATGGTCGAAAGACATTTAAAGAACTGCTCAGCATCCTTAGTCATCAGGGAAATGCAAATCAAAATGACTCTGAGATACCATTTTACACCTGTCAGAATGGCTAAGATCAAAAGTACTACAGTCAGCTTATGTTGGAGAGGATATGGAGCAGGGGGAACATTCCTCCACTGTTGGTGGGAGTGCAAACTTGTATAGTTACTATGGAAATCAGTATGGTTCTTTCTCAGAAAACTGGGAATCAATCTTCCTCAAGACCCAGCTAAAGCACTCTTAGGCATATACCCAAGGAATGCTCAATCATACCACAGGGACACATGCTCAACTATGTTCACAGCAGCATTATTTGTAATAGCCAGAACCTGGAAACAACCTAGATGCCCTTTAACTAAAGAATGGATTAAGAAAATGTGGTCTCCCATCCAAGTACTAACATGAGCCTTGCCTGGGTTTCACCCCCAACACAAAAAAATTCTAGAATAATGGAGAATCTAAGATATTAAAAAAAACATAATTATAAAAGCAAATAAACATTTTTAAAGGAAAAAAAAGAAAATGTGGTACATATACACAATGGAGTACTATTCAGCAGAGAAAAACAATGACATCATTAAATTTTCAGGCAAATGGATGGAACTAGAAAATATCATTGTGAATGAGGTAACTCAGACTCAGAAGGACAAACATGGTATGTACCCACTCATAAGTGGATACCAGAAGTAAAGCAAAGGATAACCAGACAACAACCCACAACTCCAGAGAATCTAGCTAACAAGGAAGACCCAAAGAGGGATGCATAGATCGCCCTGGGAAGGGAAAATAGATGAGATCTCCACGAGTGAACTGGGAGTGAGGGGTAGGGAATGCAGCATAGGGGATAGGGGATAAGAGCATAAGGGAATGGGATGGTTGAGATGGAGCAGGGATGGAGTGGGAAAGCAATGAAAGAGATACCATGATAGAGGGAGATATCATGGGGATAGAGAGAACCTTGGTGCTAGGGATGTTGCCAGGAATCCCCAAGGATGACCCCAGCTTGGACTACTAGAAATAGTGGAGAGGGTGCCTGAACTGAACTGGCTTACCCCAGTAATCAGATCAGTGAATACCCTAACTGTCATCACAGAGCTTTTCTCCAATGACTGATGGAGGCAGATGCAGAGATCCACAGCCAAACACCAGGCAGAGCTCCAGGAGTCCAGTTGGAGAGAGAGAGGAGGGATTCTATGAGCAAGTGCATCAGGATCATGATGGGGAAACCTGCAGAGATGACCAAACCAAACTAGTGGGAACTCATGAAAGTTGGATAGATGGCTGTGGAGCCTGCATGGGACTGGACTAGGCCCTCCACATGACAAGACAATTGTGTAGCTTGATCTGCTTGGGAGGCCCTTTGGTGGCAGAATCAGAATTCATCACTGCTGCATGAGGGGGCTTTTTGAAGCCCACTACCTGTGATGGGACACCATGTGTAGCCTTGAGGCAGGTTCAAGGGCTTGGACTTGCCTCTACTGGATGTGCCTTCCCATGGGAGGCCTTGCCTTCTTGGCAGGGGGAGTGCGGGATGGGTTGGAGGGGATGCTGGGGGGACTGGAGGAGGGAAAAGGGGGATCTTTGATTGTTGTGTAAAATGAATGAAAATTTTTTCTTAATAAAAAAAATAAAATTTTAAAAAATGGCAGCCTGGCTATTGCTGACTGACATACCTTCCTTGCTAGGATAGGTTGGCAATCAAAGGGGATGATTAATTCCTTGTACCCATTTTTGCTCTCAGTTTCCTGATATAAAAAACGGTTGATTAATGAGTATGCACCCTGAGAATTTAAAGTAGAGCTGATTGATTGTTTTTTATATATAAAAGTTAAGATTTGTGACTCTTTTAAGATTTTTTATATGATTGTAAGATTATCTTTTGAGATAAATAATAAAATGATTGGCCTTTTTTTTTTTTTTTTTTGTAACCACAAAATGCTGCCTGCCAGTAAATGAACTGTCTGTCTGAGAAAATTATTTTGCTTATTTACACTTTGTTAATCTATAACAAGTTGCTTGGAAATGAATGTATGTGTGTTCTTGAGGATAATTTGTCTTTCACTGGTAGTATGTAAATTGTTTAATCATGTAAGGTATATGGAAAACATGCTGTTTTTTACTTGTAGTCATTGTAATCATTTACTTAAACAATAGAATGTAACTACATTGTAATTTTTAAATTGTTTGAAAGATTGTGATGGAAGATATAAGCTGTAGGAGAAAAAATAAGACACACAGAAGGAAGACATCAGAAAGTAATGAGAAGGAAGTCATTAGGAAAGACTCAGAATGGAAACATCAGCGTAGAAGAACAGAACAGAAAAAGAACAGAGTAAAACAAGCAACAGAAAGAATAGAATGAAGAACTAAGCTTTGGCCCTCAGAAAAGTCCCCATGTGTCTGTTTGTCCAGTAGTTTGCCTACTCTTCATACCCTCTTCAGTTTCCCTGACCTGCTGAAGGCTTGACATTCATCAGCACCCTTAGTGAGATTCTGACATGTTGGAGGTTTGTGTGTGTGTGTGTGTGTGTGTGTGTGTGTGTGTGTGTGTGTTTCCCTTTTTCACCAGCCCCAGAGAATTAAGTTTTACTTCCTGACATAGAAAAGTCAATTGAGTGATTAGTCTGACAACTCCATTGTTCCCCTTCAATTCCTGAGCTGCTGAAGGCTGGTCCTTATAGCAGCAGTTAATATCCAAAATATATAAAGAGCTCAAGAAACTGGATATCAAAAAAACAACAAATAATCCAATTTAAAAATAGGGTATAGATCTAAGCAGAGAATTTTCAATAGATGAATCTCAAATGGCCAAGAAACACTTAAACCTTAAATTTTGAAGACATCATTTGGTACAGTGAAAAATGAAAATCAAGTTGTTATAGAAAACATAAATGCAAATCAGTGTACAGCATCAGTTACAGTAGAGGTCATATCTTACTAGAGGAAATATGTCACAAAATTCACACCACAACTGGCTCTTCAGTGACTGGGGTGTCTTATACGCACAGCAATGGCTGGTTGCTATGAAGAGGAAATGCCTCTTCTGTACATGTTGTCTTAAATCCGTCCCTTCCTTGTTACCACCAGGCAGTTCACACTATAGGGTACATGCCATATGTAGCAATTCCACAGTGGTTTCTATGGTCTCTGGCGATCTTCACATAGCCTCTAATGCCCCATTTAATGCCCATGCTGAAAGAAAGCATGTTTTCCCTTTAGTAAAAATAACACAGCACAGTGGATTATTATAATAACTTGTCTGAGCACTGACCCAGAGGTCAACTTAATAGAAAGCATCAGAAAAAGCAGAGAGTCAACACTTGGGAACCAAGAGTTATCTCACACAAGACTGTGAAAATCACAGCAAGGAAAAGATAGGACAACTTTCCATCTATTGGTGGTTCAGATGTAACAATTGTGTCAGATTTTAGAAAATCAATGGCACAAATATCATATTAGAATCCAGGGAAACCAGTAGCTGAATATGAATGTTGTGAGCACACAGCATGAGATGGCTGCTCCAGACATAGAAAGAGCTCAGAAGATCAAGTTCTGGCCATACAAAAGCTGAAATTCAAGTTCAGAGTCCCACTGAAAGCCAGGAGTGAGGCTGCAGACAGCTCAGTGCCTAAGAGCATGGGGACAAGAGCTCCCACCCAGCAAACTCACTAGAAACAGAAAAAAAAATCTCTTTCCAACCTCAAATACAAATAATTTTGGCAATTTATACCTGTTCTTGACCAGCCAATATTTCCTGCCTTCTGATTCTTCTCCTTCAAAGCCATAGCCAACCACTAGCATAGAGTGGCTGATATTACGACTACTGCAATATGGCTCATAATATATACCTGAAAAATAAAATCAGTGAAGCAGTGAGAGGCCCCAGGAACCTGATGACGACAATGGTCACCAACAATAGGTGAAGCGTTTCTCACTTCACTGAAATGTTATAAACTCCAGTGACAACAGAATCAGTCATTGACAGGAATCCTGATACAGGTCCTCATTAGAATCCAGAGAAATTCAAACGATCATAAATGTGTTGATAAACACTTGTCTACGTGCATAGAAGATGACTCTTCACGTCTTGTGATTTCACTAATAGAACCCTTTGCAAGCAAGCACTACTGAGCATAAATTACTTAATTCAAGATCCTCTTTAGGTTATTCTAGAAATGTCATCTCATTAAAAGTCTGAAAGACTTATCACATGTAGAAAACTTAGAAACTAAGTTAAACAATACATTTTATGGATTATGTATTGTTTGCATGCAAGGGAAATGTTGTGTCAAGTACAAATGACACACAAGATTATTAAATGGATAGCTATAAAATATGCAGACCCACATATTCTAATCATGTTTGATATTTTAATAAATGGTTTGCTGAACAGAAATGCCATGGATATGTCATACATATTTAATTAATATCTAAAAGAGTGCATACCTACCTCGTTTATAGAACTGGAAAGAATTATGTCTTGCATCAATTGCAACAGAAATGGGACCTATAGTTGCCACAGCATACATTAGGGCATTCTCACTCTGTGGGACTAACAGAACACCTGTGATATTAGCAATAGAATTATCCGGACTGTACCTGCAGGGTCCTTCCTTAAAAATATAAAGAGTTAAAAGACTAGGTTAGTCTTTTAGTCCATCTGGGCCCTATAGAACAGGAGTCAGAATCACACTCTTCACTTTGCAGCTCATCATCCCCAAGTCTAGGCTATTATAAAGTATCCCAGGAAATAAAATGCTACTGGGGGATTTGGAACTGAAAATTAGCTCTCATGTTATCAGTGACACCCCATTAGGTGTTGCTGTCTGTAAGAAATTTTCATAGTGAAGAAATTTATATTCTATACAAAGATTTTGCATATTCTCCACGTTTATAGAAGTAGGGTCAGCTGCATGGAAACCGTATCAGTAGATAACCATGCAAAGATAGTGCTGGGATGACAGGCTTGAAATAACAATAACACAGAAAGTACATTTACCTTGTCTTCATATGGATACGTTGCCTCGGACTCCAGACCTCCATTGTCTTTCACATACTCAAATGCAAGGTATGTATTACCTCTGTAACAGCCCTCATTACCATGAGATCTAGAACAGTCCACTAGGTTCTGTACACTCAGAGGAATCAGTTTGCCTGTTTTCCGGAATATCTGTCCTTCTATGGCACCAGCCACAGAAATAGCCCAACAAGCATTACAGTCACTCTAAGCAGAGAGGAAAAGAGAATCATCCACAAACAAATAGCAATCCCAAATCAGACAGCTGAATACTATCATCAATACTTCATCACTACTGAATACTATATCAATACTTCCATCACTAGCAATTGATGGAAGCCTGTCAAGGGAAGGTCAGTCTTCTTTGGAGACCTGACTGATGGAAGTTTGCTCATGCCACAGTGGTTGGTCACACACATGCACATAAGGGCAGGATCTACTGGTAACTGCAGGTTATAGATAGCAATAAAAGGTGATATGAAGTCTAAAGACATGATGGAGGACACTAGGTGGAGCTGTAAGGCTAAGGTAGTGGTGGATGGAAATGTTTGGTATGCATTGTGTAAAAACACAAGAAGAATTAAAATATTATTGAAAACTCAACTCACTCAATCCATACAGATATGTCACTTCCTAACTTCCTCAGTGATTGAAGAAGATGAGCATGTGAAATAGTAATACCTGTCTCCGCACAGTGGTAACATAACCTCTTTTTTTCCAGTTTAAAAAATTGGGCACATCACCAGCCAGATGTTTCTGGACATTTTTCTCTTTCTTAAGAGTTGGGACTTGGAAATTAATCATCATGTTCCTGAATTCTTCACCAGTCTTTAAGGAAAAATACATAAATCATTGAAAAACAAAGACATCAAGAATTTGAAGAGGAAAATACATTGTGAAGCTATACATGTCACATTCACCATGTCACCAAATTCATTCATTTCCATGGCGAAACCATTCTTCCCCAGGCCATTCTCCCCATTGTGCAATTTGATCATCTTCGTATTTTCTTCCCATACTGCTTTCTTCCGTCCTTCTTCCTCCTGGAAATAAAAACAATGGATGACACTTATTTTTAACCGCTACACAAGCTGCCCAAATACTTGTTGTAACAGGTTAAGAGAACCCAGAGAGAGAGATTTCAGGACATTGAAACAAACCATTTGACACATATCTAGGAAGCGAGATTCTAACCACTCTCTGCTCATCTGTGTATGTAATTCTTCAGAGAAAGGCAATTCCCATGGCCTCTATTATGCCCATAACCCCCAACAGCAAGCTCTCTGAGTTCCCTCTAGACAGTTTCAACATTACCAACCAGACTGTATGTTTTTCCATATTTAATCTTCCACATCTGCCAATCAGCATCCAAAATGGGATCAAGTGATGGAGTAGATGAGGCCACTCCCAAGCACATTACAGCCAGAAAGACAGCAGGAATCATGACTCAAGCCTGCTGACAGGGAAGAGAAATGAAAGTGTGACTACACCATCACTTCTAAAATGCCTTCTTACTCCTTCCTGACAACTGAAAAAATCATAGTAGATAAATTATTTGAACTATTATTCTAAATATTTATCCACAGATTTTGGAAATGGCTAAATATATATTTGGACTAAAGGCTCAATGAATGGTATTTAGTTGGTTAGTCCATAAAAATGCACAGCACTTGAGAGGTGTGGTGGGAGGGAAATCTGTAGTCAGGATGTAATATATGAGAGAAGAATAAAATAAAATAAATAAATAGATAAACAAATAAATAAAGTACAGCATATGGCCAGAATTCTAGGAATACAAACCGCGTATATACTAGAAACTTAATTTATCAAAAAGAGAACAATGCATTCAAAGTTCAAAAGCTATACAACTATGGACTTGTGGCACAGGAAACCTAGGATTTGTAATGAAGCAAAACTTCTCTTGCATAGCATCTTATGCTAGTCACAAGGTTGCCTCATGAATTGGGGCCACATGCTGTTCTATCCCTGCCTAACGTGCATCAAGATATGGGCTTATTTTGAACCTTACCTCGAGTCCTCCTTAAAAAATACAGGAAGGTTTATAGATCCTAATCCATCTGATGCACTCTTGGATCTTTGCAACTATACACATTACCTCAGTGAGGAAAGCATAACATGGGATGTCACTGTAAGACAGAGCCACCAGTGAAGGTGGAGAAAGCCACTCCCAGGATTTCAGATCAAGACATGCTGGGTCTCTTAAGCCATGTCCTCTATACTTCTTGTCTAGAGACATGCCACCTGCTATTACTTCTGCTCATTCCAATCATGAAAAGTAGTTTTTAACCAGTGATAATGTGCAGGAAAATGATTTCTGTAGGCCAAGAATGAGATAAAGATGTCCCTACTGCACATGGTACCAGCTGTCACTCTCTCTAGACAAGGCCAGTCTTGCACTTAATGGGAACCTACATAAACCTGGACCCAGGGGTGCCTGATTTCCTTTCTGGCTCCCTCACCCTCTTCCACCTCCACACAGCAGGGCTGCTGAGATTGAGAAGATATTCTCATTTCTGAGGCTCTGCCTGATTCTCCATGAAGTCTCTCAAGACTCTCCTCCAGGGTCACTTCCCATTCTGCCTTTGGAGAGGCCGGGCCTCACCTGTGATGACCACTGTTACCTCAGTGCACTCCACAGCTTTTCAAAGGTCATTGAAGTCCCAGGATCTGGCCAAGCAACACCTCACTCAGGCTTTAAATCCTAAGTATCTGGCTAGCCAGCCCCACCCCTCAACCTTGTCCTTCTGATTTGCTGTTCTGATTACAAGATTGGGCCTCCAGGCTCCAACGCTCTGGACTCTAGAACTCCAAGCTCTGGGACTCCAGGCTCTTACTAGATCCCATCCCACCTGTCATGAAGAGGTGGACATGGGTTGCCTCAGTGGCCTGTGTGCAGCTGAACCTATGGACCTTGCTAGAGGAACAGATGGTTAGGCTTTCCACATTCCATCACCTGATACCTGACATTTTGCTTGATGAGCAGCTCAAGAAAAAAGTTTTTCTTGGCAAACCAGTACCATATTTTTTGTTTAATCCACATCTAAGGTGAAATTCTATGAAAACACAGACCTTGGAATGACTTTTTTCTCACTCTCAGGGTGTATCAGAGATGACTTTCAGAGGAATTTTTAGGATAAGGTGATTCCCAAACAAGACAACAATATTCAAGGCTAAAACCTAAGGTGAAAGATGAATGTCCTTGCTCTCAGAGTCCCCTGAAACTGTCTAGCTTTTCTTTACTTTAATTTAAATTGAGTATCACTCAGCAAGAAATGCTCAAATATGTCCATCTTTTCACTGGGTAACACATACATCACCTCAAAGTTTCCACTTTTGCCACTCTAGATATACACCTCAGTGGCTGGAGGGACACCAACAGTGCTGTGCAAACATCACCATGTAGGTCTCAGGAAAGATTCTTCTCTTAGGAAACTCTGCACTCATTAAACATCCTCTAATCCCTGTCCTCAACCTCAGCACCCCCACTTAAATTTCTCTGTTTAGGAATTTGTCTGCTGCCATAGGTGGAATGTTTTTCCTTCCCATTGCCATGCTGGAGGTAATTTCCACTGTACCAGTATTGAAAGCAGACCATTAGTAAATAAAGTAGTTTCCACTACCTACTGTCAAAATATCCTTTACAAAGGTTCTACAATTTTCTATTACTTGAAGATTTCATATTCTATGTGTTCATTCACTGTAGAATTTTTTTTGCTTCCTTAGATCAGGGAAGAAATATATGATTCTTGTCTACTCTACAACCTACACTACAAAAAGTACACAAAATTTAAACTTAACAAGTAAGTTTCTAAATATAGCAGAAACAGTGAAGGATATTTAGGTCATAGAGAGTATACATTATCATACCGGTAAGCCATAGAATACCTGTTTCTTCATTTCTTGAATAATGCCTTTCCTGCTAGGATGGATTGGTGATCAAAAGTGATGATTAATTCCTTGTGCCCATTTCTGCCCTCTGCTTCCTGATATAAAAACTGCTGATGAGTGGGTGTGTACCCTGAGGATTTAAAAATAGAGCTGACTGATTCTTTTTCATATATAAAAGATTAGATTTGTGATTCTTCTAAGATTTCTTCTAAGACTATCTTTTGAGATAAATAATAAAATGATTGGTCCTTTCTTTGTAACTGCAAAATGCTGCCTGCCGGTAAAAAAATTGCTGAGAAAAATACCTTGCTTGCTTATACTTTGTTATTCTATAACAAATTGCTTGGAAATGAATGTGCGTGGGTTCTTGAGGATAATTTGTTTTTCACTGGTAGTATGTAAAATGTTTAATCATGTAAGGTATATGGAAAACATGTTGTTTTTTACTTGTAGTCATTGTACTCATTCACTTGAAAAATAGGATGTAATCACATTGTAATTTTTATATTGCTTGAAAGATTTTGCTGAGATATATAAGCTGTAAGAAAAAAATAAAAAAATACGCAGAAGAGATACATCTGGATAAAGGTAAGAAAAGAAATAAAGAGATGGGAGAGAAATGATAGAAATACCTTAAAGGTGTGTGTGTGTGTGTGTGTGTGTGTGTGTGTGTGTGTGTGTGTGTGTGTGTGTGTGTGCGTGTTTTCCCTCTTTCACCAGCCCCAGACAGTTAAGTTTTGCCCTACTCACTGGCCCCAGAAAATTAAGTTTTACTCCCTCAGATAGAATAGAAAAGTCAAATTGAGTGATTAGTTTGCCGACTCCATGGCTCCCCCTCAATTCCTGAGCTTCTGAAGGTTGGTTCTTACAGTGGTGATATGTCAAGTCAGCACAAATCATTATTTCTATCTGACCACCCTTCAAATCTAATCAGGGTTCTCCTCCTCAACTGTGACCCATTTGAAGTCTGGTCATACATGCCAGATATCCCTTGAACTCTGATTATTTTTTTTGGGGGGGGGAGATTTTTGCATTTTCAGACCCCCCACCCTTTTCCTTGCCTATAAACTGAGATAGGTGCAAATTTCACTTCTCCCAATTTCATTAGGAAAAATAGAATGATTAGTGATCTTAAATAAAGCCTATTGTGTCACTCATAATCTCAACAGACATTCTGGCCAAGGACTTAAGGTGCCCTCCATCATGCATGAGAAGTGGATGTAGCTTCTTGTTACTCAGAAGTTGTGTCTATTCACCAATCTGATACTGGGGTAAGCTAGTTCAGGCATCCTTTCCAGTATTGCTAGTAGTCTAAGGTGGAGTTATCCTTATGGATTCCTGGGAACTTCCCTAGCTCCTGTTTCCTCCCTATCCCTATGATGTCTTCCTCTATCATGGTTTCTTTTCATTGCTCTCCCATTCTGTCCCTGTTCCAACTCAACCATCCCATTCCCTTATGTTCTCATCTCCTATCCCCTACCCTCCATTGCCCCCCTCACTCCCAGTTTACTCATGGAGATCTCATCTATTTCCCCTTCCCAGTGCAATCCATGCATCCCTCTTAGGGTTCTCCTTGTTAGCTTCTCTGGAGCTGTGGGTTGTCCTGTCATCATAGAGCCTTTCTCCAGTAACTGATGGAGGCAGATGCAGAGATCCACAGCTGAGCACCAGGCCAAGGTCCAGGAGTCAAGTCAAAGAGAGTGAAGAGGGATTCAATGAGCAAGGGGTATCAAGATGATGATGGGGAAATGTACAGACAACCAAACCAAACTAGTGGGAACTCATGAACTGTGGACCAATAACTGTAGAGCCTCCATAGGACTCGACTAGGCCCTCTGCATAGGCAAGACAGTTGTGTAGTTTGATCTGCTTAAGAAGTCCCCTGACAGTGGAATCAGGATCCATCCCTAGTGCATGAACAGGCTTTTTGGAGCCCACTGCCTATGGTGGGATACCTTATACACCCTTGGTGCAGCGGGGGGTGGGGGGGGGGCTTGAACCTGCCTCAGTTGAGTGTACCAGGCTCTGCTGACTCCCCATGGGAGGCCTTGCATTGGAGGAGATGGGAATGGGGGGCGGGTTGATGGGGGGAAGGCAGGGGTGGGGTGGGGTGGGAGGAGGTAGGGGAGAGGGATCTGTGGTTGGTATGCAAAATGAATAGAAATTTTCTTAATAATAATAATAATAAGTTGTGTCTAAACCATCAGAATTTCTTACCTGTACTCAACTCATCCCATAGTGACCTGAACCTGGCCTGAATTTTCAAGAAGTTATCTACCTACTGAACAACAACAGAGTTCTGCTCACTGTGGATAAGGTGTTGATCTCTAGGATAAGGGTCAACACCCCACCTGAGCAAATAAGAGGTAGTGAAGTTATTGAAAGTCTGCATTCCTGCGTCTAACACAGATATCAGCAAAATTTAGAGGGCCTTCCCAGAAAACAAGTTTACATTAGCAAATATGTTACATGACCTTCCCCTGTCCACCAGTAAGAAAGAAGCCTAATGTCTAGAACATTAGCAAAGTATGTAAA